ATACTGAAAAATAAAAACTAGGTTGGTATTTGAAGTGGACAAGGTAAATGTGACAAGAAATGTGTGTTTGTTGGTTGACATTTAGCTGACCTGTTGGTTCTGATATGCGTTTGATTGCATCTGTATGACTTTGGATCATGTTGTGCTGCCAGATTCTATCAACACCATCTCTCTTTGTTTTGGGAAACCATGCGATATTGATATATTTTTTTCAACCATCTATGTGATTATGCAGGTAGTCGTTAGTCACGTTAGTGCTGTGGGTCTGTCGTTCTTTTGGTCATTTGTTCCACCAGTCAGGTCCAGAATGTTATATTTGAACAACTATGCATGTAATCAAATGATATCTCGTACAGATATTCATGTTTCTCAGAAGATCCGCCTACAACGCTTAAAGGCAGAGTTATCATTGGACCACGTGTGCCAGTTGAGTAAAGACTGATCAAATGCCAGATATAGCAGAAACCACAAGGTATCACGGCTGATTTCTTTTTAGAAAGGAACCAATAGAGCGCGGTTGTAACCTGCTGCTGTTTGAGATAAGATATGAGATGTTACACGTACACTGTATTGGCTGGAGAGCTATTAATATAAATTATCAATAGGCCTTGTTCCTGAGTTTTACTGTTCCTCATGTACATCCTCACAGCTCAGCTGATGCGTTGGCTCATGCATGTACTGACTCAGGAAGTTACTGATGAACCGCGGCATTAAAGGAAGGGTAATTAATGTGTGTCAGAGGAATATAGAACACGCCCCACTGCACCTGCAGCCCTTCCTTTCGTAGGCGAGAAGCGTCACGCACCACGAACCAGCAGACGGATCACACGAGTGCACGCGCTTGGGCACAGCGAGGGGGGGCTAGGGAGCCAATAGAATATCACAACTGCATTAAAATGCAATCTTTAGGTTCCCGGTACAGTGATGCGCTATTTCAGGGATACCTATTTACAGGCTGTTGGTGTGGCCTCCTCCGTGCTGGAACAGCACCGTGCACCATCTCCATTATTTATGGGCCTCATCTCTATTTTTTACTGGTTTACCGGGGTAGGGGAGGGGCGGGTACAGCAGTCATCACCGCGGCTTGAACAACATGTGCTTAATGATGTCACGGGCCTGTGAGGGCTCCAGGGGGTGGTGGAGAAGAAGAGCAGAACAAACGGTGGATATGAACAGTAGAGTGGGGGCGGCCCGGAGGCAAGGGGAGATGTGAGGGATGGAAATGACATTATAACATCACTGAAGCTTTACATCATAGCTGCAGGTTTTAGCGGTGCTGCAGGATGCATGCGCACCATTGACTTCTGTCGTATCAATGAATCTTCTGCAGCACGGGAGAAAAAACCTCTGCAATGGAAATGGTCATCAGATTTTGTCGCTGCCGCAGGAGTCGTGACAGAAAACAGCAGTTTGAGACTGTTAATCACCTTGTTAATTATTATCTGTCTGTGTGTGTGTGTGTGTTTAACTGAGCAATAAAGAAATGGATCATTACTTTAGTAGTTATTAGGCAAGAAATAAATCACCATTTAGTCTGCATTACCTTATTGGATAGATGAGTTGATTTGGGAAAATGCAGGAAATCCCAAATCTTAAAATATTTGTTGTATTGATTTTACTTTATTGCGTTCATTTTCAACATGAAAACACAAAGAAAATTCAAAACAACGAGTCATTATTTCATAGTGTCAAGCTAAATGTTATGTAAAATAACTCCTCTAATTTTTCTCTTCTTTTCTGTTTTGCATTTGCTCTGATTCTTTGTTTTTGTAAACATGCAAATTCTTCTTAGTGTTCACTTGCTCACAATACGTTGGGATCTGGATGCAGCCCGACAGCATCTTGCTTTTTACATTAATTGTACAGCAGTTGTGCGGAATTGAAAAGATTACAAATGGTCCTAATATTGACCGACCCATCAGCTCGTCACTAGTCCCAATAATCAGTACCAGTGGATCAGCACTGGTAGAACATCTTTTGTGTGTCTTCTTGAGTTTCCAGTACGTGGACTTTTAAAACAAATGATCATATATGGTACCATGTGGAACAGTTTGGTCCTAAATTGCGAATCAGGCAGTGCCACTCACTTGTTGGCTACTGTTAGTTTTGCCAAGGCCTTATTTACAGCTAAGCGCCCCTTCTAAATCACCACGCTTCACATCTCCTGTCTGTGACCTTCTCAATATTACCTCATCCATTCTTCTTCTATGGTTGTCACAAAGGAACCCTCGGACATACGTTCAAGGACCTGTGCACTTGTGTGTGGATTTCTTTTTAGCATGCACTCCAAACCATGTCTGCCATATTGCATGAATAAGACCTGCTCTGATTAAGCCAACGGAGTCAAGCTGACATTGGACAGACCTAATCATGTGTGAGTGTCTGTCAACAACACCGGGGCTTGTCTGTTAGGGGTGGATGTTGGGATAAGTGACAGTAGCAGATGTGTCTCTTGTTCCAGCGGCATCGAGGGGACATTTTAAATGCTTGTTTCTGTTGAAGCAGCCCTTTGCATATATTTTTTATATGTCTGTGCTGTAGATGAGCTACATCACTTAACCTCCATAACCTGGCACACAGTAAAAAGCAAATGTACAATGCAGATTAGGATTTACATGTAGCACAGGTGGCTGACAAGTTTCTCTGCTTCTGTATGTGTTTCTCTGCTTCTGTATGTGTTTCTCTGCGTAACCAACCTTATTGTGATTTCTCTGATTATGTCCGATCCCGAGGAGGGTGTCGATATTGTCGCAGGGGCGTGGGCCTCTTAGAGAAGCCATGTTTTATGCATGAGGGCCGAGGGTAGGGCCCGTTATGGGGGCTGAGTAGGCGGACACGCAGAACCGCCAGATCGGCGGACACCATGGCTACTTGGCAAAGATGCACAATAAAGCTCTTATAGGCTTGGTCCACCTATTAAACTCCTTTGTTCCTCTCCATTCGAGAGCAATGTCGTTTCCCCCTTTATGTCCCCAGTGTTCCCAGTCCACATGGACAGTACAAACAGCAGAGCTCCCTAAAGTGTGTTTCTTAATTCAAAACTATATTCCAAGCAAGAAATTGTATTTTGATCACACCAGTCTGTGAGCCGCTAGGTTTTTTTTCTGTATTGAGTTAAAGACTGAGAGTATTATTGACTGAGAGCCCATGAAAATGTTTTTATGAGCCAATATTACCTCACAATAATGTATATAACAGTTGTAATTTCATGAACATGCAAAGATCTGTACTTGTGGATTGATGGTAAAATAATGTTGTGACATTCAGGCCTTCTATGCTTCACCGTGAGGTTGAACTTAAACGTTTTTTTGGCTAGAATGTTGTTTGTCCCAGGTGGAAAAATTGCAGCCAAATTGCCCAGGTAAGTTATACAACTAATAAAGTTTGGCTTCATAGTTGAGAGACAAAGAGATGATCCCAAGAAACCTGTAGATTTGTCTTGTGCTATTTATCCTGAGACAAAGGCAAGAAACAATTAACTTGCAGTCCATTCTAGAAGCGCATTCATAATGTAGCAAGGGTGAGCTGCCACTAGAAGAATACTAAATTGGAAAGTTTAAATTTTCATCAGAGCTCCATACATCCATCGAGAGATCAAAGGTCAAGTCGTGTTGGAGAATGCCACACTACTCATTAAGCTGTGAAATGGAATAATCTGAACCACTGACGCAGCCACAGCGGTCTAAAGTACCTCCACACATGAAGTGTCCTCCACTCTCTCCCTCTTCGTCTCTATTCTATTAACAACTATTTGCTTCATTTTTTTGAGACCTTTTGAACTGTACCTTTTGAATCAACCCTTTACAACTAAGAACGGCACGTTGGAAAAGTGAATTAAATGCAGCAATAGTTGATAAGCCAGTAAACGGACTGGAAGACGAGGGGAGACAAACAGGGGGAACAAAATAAAACAGTGGAACGAGCAGACAACAACCAGGCACGCCATGAATAAGCCTCCAGAGTGGTTGCCGCCCACTTTCTGCTCTTCCCATTTGAATGCAGGCTACAAGTTGGGAAAAGCAAGAGGTTATGAAATAATAAGGGGTCCATCCCTCTTGTTATGCTAATGTTGGTCCGATAAGTCCTCCTGCGTCGAAGTTAATTAGGGCTGACATTTAAATGAGTTGTGTTGAAGAAGACGGGAGAACGGTGGAAGAAGAGGGCCCCTCTCGCTCTAATTGAGTTTGCTGCTGGCTCCACCTTTTGTTTCCTGGCACAGGCAACGTGAACGCAGCTGAGTGAGTCTGTCGGTTATTGATAGTGGCTCTGCTACATGACGCCGTATGCGATGCTTTGTCTGTGTTAGCATCCATTTTAAAATCACTCCCAACCTACATACCAGATATCAACAAATAGCAGAAAATCCATATTTACCTTCATGGTCTGTACCTCACACATATGGAAACTCAGTGATGGATGACTCACATACAGTTTCTCCATGAGTAAATTTACTTAATTGTTCAGATCTACGGTAGTTCCAGGCCAGATTACTGCACCAGGGACTAGTAACTGAACTCCGTAGTCTTTAGATGTCTGGAAACAATTTCTCTGCAGAGAAGTAGAGATGTAAACTTTACAGCTGGCAGTACCGTCTCACCCCGCTGTAGGAAGACGTTTATCTGTCTAATACTGTGATGAGTCAAGAGAGAGGTTTGCACTTAATTTCACGCTATTCTATAATACGATGCTTGTGTTCTAAATATGGTAATTCTACATTAGTCTTGGTCTTTTTCAGCCCGTAAGTAATCACATTATATGAATCATCATGTATAATCTTGAATTTAAAAAAACAAATACGTGTCAATGAAATTGCATTGCCACTTATATCTTTGGATGGAGTGGATGGTTAAGAAGAACATGAATATGTCAGAGGAATTCTCAGATGTTGATCTGATGAATAATACATTTATTTTGATGAGATCAAAGAGTGAAGATGTATTTCCTGGAAGCAGCTGGGCTGATATGAGCTAATATCGCTCTCTCCCGCCCTCCCTCCACAGCTATGGCAGACTTCCACGCGCAGCCAGAGTCGGTGCATGCTGAGGAGTCCGGTGTTGCTAGATTCCAGTGCCAGATCCACGGTCTGCCGGAGCCTGTCATCAGCTGGGACAAAGACAGACGTCCGGTGAACACCGAGGACGAGAGGTTGGTCCAACGCGATTTGTGGCATGACACCTGGCAGCTCTTTATCAGTCCTTTACCAGGTCTCACTGCGCCTGCCTTCTTCTGTCTTATGGTGTTTTCTTTTTCCACCGCAGGTACACTCTTCTGCCCACAGGCGTCCTACAGATCACAGGAGTGCGTCCCGAGGACAGTGGCCAGTTCTGCTGTGTAGCCCATAACAGTGCAGGAGTGAAACACAGCACTGAAGCACTTCTCACTGTCTCAGGTTGTTATATTTAGTCTCTTTTACATCTGCGATTTTCTAAACCAATTGTTCGTCCGCACGATTCAACAGAAGCAGGATATTGAGCTAACTGGAGAAATCCAATTAAAGGACGTCATCCATCATGCTTGTCCCCATCTCATTCTCCCCTCTCCCTGCTTTTCTCAGGCTCTCAGTCATCTGTTTACAAAGAGCCCATGATAGTGGTCGGACCAGAAAACCTCACCCTCACGGTTCACCAAACCGCCATCTTGGAGTGTGTTGCTACGGGATACCCTCGGCCCATTGTGTCTTGGAGCAGACTAGGTGAGAACAAATCCTGTTCTTTTCAAAGAAAGGGCCCCAGAAGGGGGAAATATGTGTTTGGAATATTTTTTTCTGTGCATATACATACTTGCATTTGAGGAATTTAGTGTCACTGAGCTGAAGTAGCAACACCTGTGTGCGTCGAAGCACGTGAAATATGAGTGTTTTCGGTCATATTTGGGCTTTTCTGTCATTGTATGCATGTTCTTTGCAGCACAGCTTTGATCTGTCTGCATTGTGTAATGTACGTGTGTGCGCACAGAATACATTTGCTACAGTAAAGCCTCTATTGTGTATACTGTGTATCGCTGTGGGATTCATCACAAGGCCTTCAGGCTGAACATGATGTTTGACTGCATGCTTCTTCTCCAATTGAAGTTGAATATCCATGGGAGCATTGGCGAGCCTCTGAGTAATTGCTTTGAGGTGCTGAAACAGATACGATTAGTTTCCCCCTTCCCGTCCTGCTTGTGTATTTCTTCTTGACTATCACTCAAAGTCAAAACAGAGTTTGCTATCTGTTCTCTTTACCTATTATCCAGTGAAATTCGCTGTGCCAAATGTAAATTGCTGGCCCTCCTAAGCACACGGGCATAATTAGATTGGGGGTATTTGCCTCACATAATGCCGGTGAAATGAAATGCTAACACAATGGGATTTGTGTGTATTCGATTACAGCAGGGAGGCTAAAATGCATAATTAATCTGATAGTTTCACATCAGTCACTCCTTAATGCCATTCTGTATTTACTGCTATTCATTCAACAGACCCAAAGCCTGCTAGCTGCGGTGCTCTTTCTTTTCTGCCACTAACTTAATTAGTGTCTGATGAAGAGAAACTGATTTGTGGGGGGCCAGGAGAGAGAGAGAGAGAGAGAACAATATATAGAGAAAAAGGCACGAAAAGAACAAGACGGCTTTTGTTCAGACAAAAGTTTGCGGTACTGAGCGGTTAGTTAGCGAATGGAACTGCAAAAAAAAGCAAAAAAATAAATAAATCGCTTCACATTGACAGACACGGACAAAACCGATTGGTGGGAAAGTTTGAGTCATTTGAAAAATTTGTGATGAATAATTGAAAAATATTGATACATTCATATTCAAGATCTGAATACTCGTAATGGATATATTGGGTGGATAATTGTTGACCTCACCTGGAAAGCTGTGAGAAAAGTATTCGGCTTTTTCATTCATCTGGTTGGAAAAACCTAGAAGGGACTGTGAGTTTGCTGTGATAATACCTTTAAAGTGTAAGTAAACATACACTTTGTGAAAAGAGACCACCTAATAACCCAGCAGTATTATTTCATCTCTTTTTTTCATTTGTTTAGTTGTATTTTCCATGATTATTCCCATTATGCTTATGCTTTATAGTGTTACATGTATTTTTACACATGCACTGGTACCAGCTGTGTAGTTGCATTAAAGAAAGAGACCAGGCAGCTATGGATTGTGTGAGGAGATAAAAGATTAAAAGTTGCTTATAATTTCTAGTCCCCCAATAGCGGCTGGAACATCCCCTGTGTAAGGGTTTGAAAGAAAACGCACTCCAAGGTTTTGTCTTAGCATGAACAAAAGAGCTGTTAAAGAATGAAGGCTTTAATTAACCGAACATCCATTAGAGAAGCTGCACTTACAATAAAACACATTAATAGATAAAAGCAGAATGTCCTCTTTAGGATGAATGTCCTCTTCAGGGTGCCCCTCTAACAAAAAGTAAAGACAACTGATTTCAGCGTCAACACCGCAGCAGCAGCCACAAAAGGGATTTCTCTCATCAAGTCTCTGTTGTACTGTTCATGAAACATCACACACCTCACTGCGAGAGCTGCATCCTTGACCTCTGGCACGTCCAGAAATACCTGCTTACTTTGTCAAATTGTGTCTGTAAATGTGCAATGTGCATCTAACTAGTCTTTAAAGCCTGGTCTGACCTTAAAACGTTCACCACGTTTCCCTCCACCCAACATGAACACATTGTCTGTGCACACCTGGTCCTTTTCGGCTCTGCCCCGTGTGAATTCTCTCTCTGTCCCTGTTTCTCTGTGCAGACGGGCGTCCCATCGGCGTTGAGGGCATCCAGGTACTCGGCACAGGGAACCTCATGATCTCAGATGTGGGCGTGCAGCACTCGGGGGTCTACGTGTGTGCTGCTAACAAACCAGGGACCCGTGTTCGTAGGACTGCTCAGGGACGTCTGGTGGTCCAAGGTGAGTTCTGGCAAAAATGAATATTTTCAGAACTTTAGATTGCCGTTGTGAAGGGTAACTTCACAAATGCAGCTATGATCAAGTTGTAACGTAGAGGTTGTGAATCGCGTGGATGGACATCTGTGCCGGCACCCTGACTCCCGTAGCGCAGGAGAAGGAGGAGTGGTCCCTCGACCCTCAATCCTCCACTGCAGCCAGGTTGAGATGAAATGTAAATGATAAAATGTTCCTATTAACACAGTGTTGTGTGCTGTTAATTATTTTAAAATTAACCTATAAAATCCCATTGGAAAGAATAATATCTGTATGATAAATGCTGTTTTTATCAATGTTGTCCGATCCACACGGATAAAGACCGGTGCATTCTATTTTAAATCCGTGATTACATCTTTTATGGCAAATTGCTTTTTAGAGATCAGAATCACTGAGCACAGCGTGCACGGGGACACTTCTCTTTCATTCACACACCTTTTGAAAATCCAATTGTGCCACAGCGTAACAAATTCTGCAGCAGGAGAATAGTTGTATTGGCACCTTTAGAGGAGTGTTTTTCTCCCATATTCATGGACATCCAATATAAAAAGAGAAATATATATAGATTACATTTACCATTTCTATTCTTTATTTGGTTCTGTTATATTATTCTCCACAGGGTTGTAACCATTAAAGTGTTTGATGGTCAGATAGATGCTGCTTCTGACCAATGGGATGCAGCCAGGTTTGTGTGGCCCCCTCGGTGCATTAATTGTACCGCGGGAGGATTGCAGCATTTATTTGCCTCCCTCACGTATCGATCAGATAAAACTTCAGCACATAGCAGCATTGATCCTAATCAATATTTAATTTGATCTGCCTGTCAAGTGCGTGTCCAGCCGCTACTATAACGAGAACAAAGAGAAAAAGCCATGGATGTTAATTATGTGTCAATGTCATTGATTCGTGGAGAAAAAAAAAGGTGTACTCTTAACTCAAAATAAATGTCCTTCAGGTCAATTTTACTGTTACTGAACTTAAACTTCTGTCCTCATGAGAGGATGTCCGTGGCAATTAATCCAGAAAAGGAATACAGAGGTCAGGAATCTATACTTAATAAATGCAGCATGTCGCAAATCACTTCAGAAACAAAGGCCGCAGGAGGAGTCAAAGTGTGACACCCCAAACGGGAAAACAAGAGCAAGACGGATGGATGGTGCTGATGATCAAACTCACACCCGGGTGCTAATCAATATCTCTCCGAGTTCCGTCCGACCTTCACCTTTAGGAAATCCCTAAAAGAAAACATTGAGTGGGATTGAAAGGGAAGGACGCAAAGGGGAAGATACAAACGAAAGGACCGTCACACAATGTCAGCGTCCTCTTTTGGGCCTCAGCTTTTCTAATGGGAGACTGGAAATGATTTCATCAAGAAAAGTGCCTCACAACATTGTGCTAAATAAGAAAACAAACAAGGGGATTTGATGTAATAGAGATGAGGCCATTGAATCAAAGGATAATGCTCCAAATACGCAGCTGAAAAATGTCCCCATAAAATGCTCTATTTTGTTCTGATTGAAAAACATCTGCACAACAACTCGAATGGCCATTATTATGGACATTATTGATCATTTTTTAAGTATACTTCATGTGCATAGACTATATATTCTGGACGTGTTTTAAAGATTTGAGTCTTTTCTGCAATGAATGGGCATGGAAGTGAGAATAACTCAAGAATTGATTTATGTTCTCGTGAACGATAACCAATCATACAGGTTTCCCTCTCAAAACTCTTATCAAAAACAGAATTCACTGTTCTTTTCATCCAACCAACGTTTGTGTTAAATATGTAATTCTACATTTTGTGCTCAGTCCCAATAGGTTACGTTAAATTACTCATCGCTCCAAACGAATGTAGGAAAAGCTTTTGTGTTTTTTCAACACTCAATATGATCCGCCTGTTGTTCCGGCTTCTTACCCTCTACCGATGTGTCTGAAATATTTTAATTACCTCAACATTTGCTCTTAGTTAATACGAACATTAATAATTCAGGTTATGAAATCGCTGCTAACCGCTGGAACAATAATGAGTGCAGCTCAAAAAAAAAACACCAAGCCAGAAATTACACTTCAGCAAAGTAATTACTCTCTGATTTAAAGAAACACACTTCTCTGCTGAAAGAATAAATTCATATGCATACATTATAACCACTAATTCACCGTAGCTGAAAGCATTGGATTAGACCAGTTGTTATAGAACTATAAACTGCATCACCTTTTTAATGTAAATGTGTTGTTTATTTTAAAGCACATTAGTCCCACAAAAATGTGGTTGTTGATTGTTTTCCTCTTCCCTCCACCTTTCTGCTCCTCTGTCTTTCATTTCCCCGTGTAAGCATTTTATCTGGTGTCTCTTAATTGAACGTAATTCATAGATTTTCAATAGTATGTTCATAATACACCTACAATGCGGCAATGTGTACCACTCACGCTCTCCTTGCACCCCTTTTTTGTCCTGTCTTACCCGTCGTTTCCTCGTTCAGCTCCGGCAAAGTTCGCTCAGGCTCCGCAGTCCATCGCTCGGCCCGTCGGCACCAACGCGGTCTTCACCTGCCAGGCCGAGGGCGAGCCGGAGCCGCAGCTCACCTGGCTGAAGAACGGGCAGATTCTGGAGCCCTGGGGACACGTCAAACTCCGGAACAACAACAGGTGAAAAATGACTTTTACACGGGAACCTTACGGAAATGAATTCATGTATTCAAGTGTACCCACGGATTTGTCAGGTATTTGTCAAACTGTCAGCATTTTGAAGCTTTTCTTTCTTCTTTTTACTCATGCAGTTTCTACATCTGATACGCCAATATTTTAGCCACGCACACACGCAACAGGATGATCGGTACAACTTTCTAATGAGCCGCACTATATTAGGGCATCTTCATTAAGGGATAATAGATACTAGAAAGCTATTGGTTTAAAAGAAAAAATGCTTGTAACCATCAATAGGTCTCGCTACACTTAATGGCTTACTAGAAAGTGTGAAACACAGTGTTAATTAATGGTAATTAGCATTTGCTGACAACATGTTTCTCTCATTATTCTTTTACAACTCATTGCTGTTATAGCCTTATGCTCACCAAGGGTCACCAATCACCACCAAAGTTGGCCAGAGATTTAATTTTCTGTGTTTAACGGCTTAGCCGCTCCCTTCCCTGCATGCCGGGCACTCACTGTGTCCTCACATTGTTGGACCCCACTCACAGAAATATGGATTTCAGTAAACACCCCATTCTAATCATCGGCATCATCAAATGTTCAATCTTGCTGCGTTTCTTCTGCCCCTCACGCGGTAGTTGCTGGAATTCACGCCTGCCAAGACATGAGCCTCAATTTATTTGTGCCTTTGTGTGCGTTCAGCGTATTGACTGGATGTTGGAGGCTTTCCCATGGCAGTCTCCAGGAATGTCACGAGGAAGAGGACCGCCGCTAGTTACCATTCTAAGCACCTCACAGTATAAAGGTTGCATGTTGCATTGCCATTTTTTGGTGTTACAGTACTGATCTTGGAGATAATATAAAGAAGTAAATACAAGTTGGACCTATTTTTCTGTGCCGTGAGAAGCTGCTCTTGAGTTTTACACATCGATGGCCGGTACCACACAAGTAACTGTTTTTATTATTATTTTAAAAGGCTCTTTCATAATATTCCAGCCTGTTGCTAGTACTGCTTAATGTTTGATTGAGAACTGCTACACTCCACCCATCCAGCAACGAAAGTTACATTTTTCCAGTTGACCCTGGCAGCCAACCGTGCATGCGTGTTATTTTTTTCATAAAAGAGAAATGTGAGGGTAAAATATTGAATAACACACAGCTAACAGTCCACGCTCTGTCGCAATGAGCGAATGCAGCAGACGCATTGTTCAAACACTCTGCTCCACTCCCATTTGCCCGCACCGGGCTGTGATTTTCAGAGAGATGGAGCTTAACAAAGGAGCAAAGAGGAGGCAAGAAATAAAGAGGAAAGAGGCTGCACTTACAAAGAACGTACGACGTACAAAGAAATATGAACAGGTGATCAGAAGAGAAATTGTGAGTAGGCAGGAAGAACAAATCAGGAGTGAGGGGGCGAAGGGTTATCCAGAGTGTCCCAGCGTGTTTCACTTAGACCTGCTGCAATCTGAACCTCATGCAGCACAAAGCCTGCTCTGCGAGGAGAGGCAGGCGGCAGCTTGAGATCTACCATTAGCTAATTATGTCATACACTGAGCTAGTTGAGCAGACGCAGTCAGCCATCTAGAGGACGCACCAGCTGGATGTACCTCTTTTCACACTACGCAGTTGTGATCTGTTGATAGAACACGTATCACAATTCATCATCACGGTCGCTTATTTGAGCTGGTGAAACGACGGACAATTATCTGTCAAATAATCAATTCATCTGTATATCTTTTTGTTGTTTTTTTATTAGTATTTACTGTAAATAGTATCATATTGACATCACAATAACACAACACCTGAGTTGATGTGTTTGTTCCAACCAACAGTCCAAAACAGACATTTTTGTTGTGTACGAAAAATTCATATTGGCAAAGCCAGTAGCAGTCATTGTTTTGTTTTTGTTTAAAAATATATGAGTGGGAATTGGGGAATATATATATATTAGTGGTAAATATATTATCTACATTTTCTTATTATAGATTTTTGGAGTAATTGATTAATACAGAAATAACCTCAGCTCAAATTGCCCGTTTTCTCTCATCATAAAAAGCTGATGAAGCAAAGGAGATCTGTGCAGTCGAGTGGAGATATCACAGGACTCACAGCCGGGGCTCGTTCCTGCGTTCCTCGTGTTGTTTGGTTGAGATTGCTGAAGCAATTTGTTGAGGCGAGGAAATACAGCTTTGATATTGAAAAGGTCAATTTAAAGGACAAGATGCAGTGACGCTTTTCAAATATTGAACCAAAAAACTATTTTTCATAAAGCAGAACCAAGTGCTAAATAACTAAATATGTTGACAGTGATCAATTTTAACTGTAAGGAGCTGGGAGATTGATGGTTCAAGGTCTCTGACTCCCCAGACGAAGTACAATGTGTGAACTGGGATGGTTCCAGTTCACAAATTTTGGTTGTGCGTTCCATTTTGCAGAGGGAGGTTTGGTGAGTTTTTATCCTTCTTAATTAGTGTGTTTTTCCAGCATGGTGGATATCTCACAGGTAAATGATGAGACAAAGGGCACAATCGACCCCTTGAACCAAGCCAATTATATTCAACAGCTCTGGACAGCACAACAATTTTGTTCATACATACATATATATATACAGTATATATCTACATCCATGCTATACACATACATACTGTCGGAAAAGGTACGCTTATAAATACATTTCAGCATTGCAGAGAGACTTCAACACACACACTGAGGTCTCCCCCCTCATCTATCCCTCAAGACGCTGACCTTAAAAGCGAATCGGACGAGAGAAGGAAGGAGAATCGATTGTACGGTTCATTCACACACACGCATGCACACACATTAATCAAAAGGCAAGTGAGCCCTGTATGGGCAAAAAAGTAGCCCTGTGGTGCATGCCATCATTCATTTTGTGCACATGCATAATCAAGGAGGAAAATTCACAAGCGTGTTGCAGCCTTTACACCTCGTCTGTATACGCACATGCTCCGCACAAACACACACAGGGAAACAGCATCGCAAAACGCTCCATGAGGTGCGATGGCTTCAGGGAGGAGCTGATTATCCTTTTTCTGTTAACAGACGTTGATGCTGAGGGCGAAGCCGTGTCCCTCAACAGGCCTTCGTAAGACACATCTGCACAAAAAACACACACTCGATTGCTATCACATTTATTATTGACCCTTGCTGACATGACTCCTGTAAAGCATGCTGATATGGCTATTTGAAGCGTGTGCGAGTGCTAATTATGACTGAAGAGTCAATGAAGATGAAGGCGAATGAAGATAGAAGAAAAAGATGAAAGCCACTACTTTTTAAATTAATGTAGACTATGAGGATCAATTTTACATTAGTGTAGAGAGCATTTAAGTTGTTTAGTAAGGAAACAAAACATTCGTGAAGGTTGTGCGTGCGTGCGTGCGTGCGTGCGTGCGTGCGTGTGTGTGTGTGTGTGTGTGTGTGTGTGTGTGTATGTGCGTGCGTGCGTGTGTGTGTGTGTGTGTGTGTGTGTGTGTGTGTGAGTGAGTGTGTTTTATAATTAATGACAAACATCTGAAGGAACAGGCAACCACACAGACCTGGACATTTCCTTGAGGAATCTTTTTAAAAGGGTTTCCTCTTTTTTTTTCCTTCTTTTTTCTTCTCTTTCTTTCACTCAGACCTGCCCTCCTTGTTTGCGGCCCCTCTCTGTGCCCCACTTCCCCATCCTGCCCCCCATTACAGAGAGACCTGGGGCCCGGGCATTGGCCTTGAACTCTCACCCCGTCTGTAATCAGTCATATCCTTTGGCCCTTCCCTCCTCTCAGGCCACAGACGGCTCATTGCTCCTCCCCCTTCCTCCCCCCTTCCCCACCTCTTCCTCCTGTTTACTCTTTGTGCCCCTTTCCCTCTTGCTGGAATGAGAAAGGCCGCGCTGGCTTTTCGATGGGGCGCTGCTCAGACACAACAGAGAGTAAACACTGTTCAACAATAGACTCAAAACCCCCACTGTCAACCACTCCCACCGGCCCGTGACCTCATCCGTCCGTCTGCCAAATGATCTTCAACCGATGACTGAATGATGTGTCAAGCCATCATGACAAGACAGCTTGGCTTTGGAGCGGGCAGACAAAACCTCAAACAAAGTCAAAATTCTTTCCTTTCTCTCACTCAGACTTTATTTTTTCCCGTATTTTATGGGTGTTTGAAGACCCATCTCTGCTTTTGCATGGCAATGTTTTCTAAATCGGAATTTCTGTCTTCAATTGAAGTGTTTTGCAATCTAAAACCAATTATTTTAAGCATTGGGCGTCGGTCAGGTCTTGCCTGGGAAATATCCCAGTACAGGAAGAAATGTGTTTCACATTTCCTGCTTCCGCAGCAGAGTGGAAACAAGTAACACCTCCTTCAAACAGAAACACTGCTCCTTATTTGCCCTATTATTTCTAAAAAAAGGACCCAAAAACATCAAAGTATCTGCCCACTAAACTGAAACCAAGACACAGAATGTAGTTTTAAATTAAAATAAAATAAAAAATGTTTCATATATTCCGATATAAAAGTGTAATATATATAAAACACAGCTATAAATGTGTGTGTGTACGTGTGTGTTCATGCATGTGTATCGCATATATGCGGTTGGATGCGAACATTCTGAAACAAGCGAAATGTGTGAAGTTTCCCCACATTCCCCCACACAGTGGGGAGGCTGGTCCGGGTCCGGTGGCGTTGGGGTAGTAGTGCGTCCCTGGGGGCCCCTTTGCTGCGTCCGTGGAGTCTGGTGAGGGCTGCCTGTCTTGCAAACACTCTATCCATCGCTGATACAAAAGGCTGTCAGAATTGTGACGGTTGAGTAGCGAGCTGCTGCTGCTGCTGCTGCTGCTGCTGCTGCTGCCGCCTCCAGGATCGGGGGGTAAGATTGTCTCGGAGAGGGTAAAAAAAACGAGGGCCTCTTTGACACCGTTATTATCCGGATTGAAGCCACCTGGCAGACCAGAGAGAATAAAACTTCTTCAGCCCATTCTGACCCAGATTACAGACGTACAGTAATTGTATCCCAGTACATCAATTTTGAAAAGGCAATGGAATGATTCACTTCTCCATCATGCCCGCTGACCCAGAAGAGCCCCCCCGCCCCTCAACCGTACACATCCATCCTCACAAACCACGCTGAGGCCGGTAGTTCAGTGCCAAAAGGCAACTTTTTCCATTTCACAGGTCCAGAAGGTTGCGAGTTAAAGGCCACGTGTATTGCAGTCAGCTGACACGTTGTTCCTTTTATGAATGGCATGCTTTTCCTTACGGGATGGTCCCGACACCTTACATTTCATTTTGATTTAATACACAGAGGATGCAGCCGGTCAGTCAAACAAAGATGATAATCATTGCGACAGGTGGACAAGTGGTATCGGCAGATTAGGCGGGATGCTGCGGGATGCGTTGGAGTCCTGTGCTATTCAATTCTTGTTTCAACTTACAGAAAAGCATGAGAACCAGAGGCCAGTGGGGGCTCTGCTCTGTTAGAATGGTGTGACTTCAGGCTAGAGGTAGAGAAAAGGGACATAGTCACAACTCAAGCCCCTCCATATTCCCAAGGCATACATTACATGCTCGTTTTCACTTTTCCCCAACAAATATTATCCTGTGAATACCACAACAACGGCCTTGGAATGCACGAGGCATCAAGTAATGTTTCGCACCACAGGGTGTAATTTTCATAGCATGTTACATTTTCTTATTTTTCTTTTTGCCTGAGGAAAATAAGAGAAGATTACGTATTCTCATTTAATAACACACGCAAACAGAAACACGCACAATGCTTGTGTTTATTGTATAACACAAGGTCAGGTAGAAGGATGGGAAAAGCACAGATACAGTAGATGATGAAGGTGGTGATGAGTGGTGCTTGAAAGAAACAATATAGAGTGAGGGCATTGAGTTTGAGAGATTGCAAGTGTCTGTGTGCGAGTGTGTGTGTGTGTGTGTTGTAGAGATGAAGTGAATACAAATGTATAGATGGATAGCAAGGAACAATTTAAAGATATATAAGCAATTCATATATTCTCTTTTTAAATAGGTGTATCTACCAACCAGAGTTCCACCGGAAGACACTTTGGTTAGAAAGTGAGCACTGTGCATGAGTGAGGGTCTTTTTACTTACGGCTGCTGTGTGTGGTGTGGGATGTGTGGCGTTATCTTTGCTCACGTATACACACCTCACTCATACACACATAGCTGAACTCAGGAGCTTGTTTAAGTACAGGTAATTTATTTCTGGGACGTGGTTGCTGTTTTTGCAAGTGAAAAACATAAACCTTAGTATATTAGTGATGCTCTGCTTGCAGTAGATAAAACAGGAAACATTCTTAGTGAAACATTTCTGAATGGTGTCAATGTCTTTCCATGCACAACACAAACCTGCATGTTTCCATTTTCTCTACGGTTTACCTTTAAAATTCAACTCAACTTACTCAAAAAGTACAACACAACTTGGACACATTAATGGTGATGGATTCCAGAAGGCATTTCCTTCCATTCATCACGCTATCGTGGTAAATTCAATTCCCTCTCTTGGTTTATTGTGGAACAGATATAGATCCAGATGCATGATTAAGAACTGTTCTGCACTCTCACATGTTGTAGTTGCTGCATGTAGAAACCAGAAACAGTTCCAAACAAAGGTAGCACGTCAATAATTCAATTAACTAATTCTATCATGGACATTTAATTTATTAGTAGTACACATCGATCTATATCTCCATGTTAATGTTTTTTTTGGGGGGGGTTTCCTCTTCAGATGTGAGGGTCCATGTCGTATGTCAAGAGATTATTAAGATTTTTGATTGGTGTTTTGGCTCATGAAAATGGAATTGAAATCATTTGTATCATACTATATACAGAATGCAACAGTACAACCCTATAAGACATGCACTTTCAAATGAAATGTTGTACTTTGTTGCTGGTAAATATTAAGCGCCACATTGACACAATGAGTACTTCATACTACGACTGGTCTTTTCAGAATTGAAGGTAGAGGAGAACCTTTGATAAGATACTGTTCTACGCTAAATCTGACCTTTTGGATTTGCACAATTTCTTTCATGGTGTCATCTACAGTCAACTCTTAAGTTATATATGTATATATATATATAATATCATATCATATTATATATCATATCATATTATATATATATGATTGTCAGAGAAATTAAACAATTTCAATGCCTTTCCTTTCCTTCCTGCTGCACCTCTCCTCTCACAGCACACTGACCATATACGGCATTAGCCAGGACGACGAGGCCATCTACCAGTGTATCGCCGAGAACAGCGCTGGTTCCACGCAGGCCAGTGCTCGCCTCACGGTGCTCTGGGCTGACGGGCTGCCCGGGGAGCCCACCCGTCTGCACGCCGAGGCCCTCTCACCCACCAACATCCAGGTGTCCTGGAAAGAGCCCGAGCAAAACACCAAGGACATCATCGGTTACGTGCTTCACATCCGCAGGACTTCAGGTGGGTTGCGCTGAGTATATAAATAGTTATAGACGAGACATTACGTAACAATGAAATGTCAAAAGTGTGTTATGCTCAAGTGCTGAAAATAAATGGCATGGACATTGACAGCGAGCGCCCTAATTCACAAAAAATGTGCAAGCTTGCTAACATGCCACGCTCCTCTTTATGCTTAGTGCCAAGTTTCTTATTACTTACAAGGAAATTATCTAATTTGGCAAGTTGCACTTTGCACTTTGCAAATTTTGTAGAACAGGCGGCAGACAACTTTACACACACATACACACACACACACACACATATTAACAGTCTACTGTGTAAGTCCCACACTCCCCTAGATGGATATAATAAGGACAAAAATCCTCCATTTTACCTTGCAGTCCATCTGTGTATAATAATGGTACGATGCTCTGGTGTGTGTCCATATATTCACCTTTGCGTGCGTGTTTACGTGCACACTGTGTGTTTGTTTGCGGCTCGGGGCGAGTGTGTGGGTGGGTTGTGATGTTTTTGTGTGAGAGTAGGGTCTCGTACTGCTAGCTGCTGGTCTCCTCAGCAGTCCCATCAGATGGATTATTAAAGGCCCCGGGGGTCATCCAATACTGCTGTAATCACCCTTCCAAGATGGTCTGGCCCGATGTGTTGAGGGCTGAAGGTGGATATTGGTTATGGTTGGTTGTCTCCCGATTGAGAGCAATATAAGTGCTTTAACACGCCCTTTGCAACTGCCCCTTTAACCACCTCTGTCTCCTCACTCCACCCCTGCGATTTAGCCAACCATCACCACTTAATTGGAACTAGATTAGCTCTTACCTTACAGGACTGCTCTGATAATGACAGAAACCAATCAGAAATATTGTTTCCTCTCTTGATCCCATATTCCATCGCATTAATGCCTGTTCCTGCTTTTTCTTTTCCCATTAATTCTGCTCTATATCCTCCTCTACCTCCTCCGTGTTTCAGACCCGCCGGAGATGGAGTACGAGGAGGCCGTCAGTAAGGCGACCCTGCAGCAAATCATCAGGGACCTGGAGCCCTCCACTAGTTACACCTTCTACGTCAAGGCCTACACATCCCACGGGGCCAGCAAACCTTCGGAGAGTGTTACCGAGAGCACTCATGGGGAGGGTGAGCTGGAAGCCGAACACACACACACACACACACACACACACACACACACACACACACAAAGCCTATTTTTTACCAATACGTTTGCAGTTCTTGCCGAGGTTAAAAACATGCAACGAGTCTTACTGCACATGAGGCGTCATAACCTGAGCCGCAAAATAAAAGACTAAAAGTGCTGCTATTATCATATTGTTGTATAACTCTGGTTAACGCTCTGTACTTTGCGTTGTAGTGCCAGCACCTCCTTCCCTCTACACCAAGGTGGTGAACGGCAGTGTTATACAAGCAAGGTGGGAACCTTCCTCCAAGATGGGCCAACTTCAAGGCTTCAGACTGTATTACAGGAGAGCCCACACACTGCTGTTCACTGGTCCCATCACACTCCTTCGCAACGTCACCCAGTACAACATCACTGAGCTGGGTGAGATGTGTAGTTTATTCTGTCACAGCAAACAAAACAGCTTTTTTTTAACTGGCACACGTCTACTTCGGTGGGGTTTGTGCTTTACTCATTATCTTATCATCGTATCGTCTCCTGTCCAGATCCTTCGCTGGTCTATGAGATAAAGCTTCACGCATTCAACGAGCACGGAGACGGCAACGCCACCCTGCGACTGGTTTCACTTCGGGAGGCGTTGGAGAAATCTGGTGATTATGTGAACAAATCAAACGCTGCTGCACGCGGTCCCCCAACACCACCAGTGCGAGTTTAATGTGCCCCCACCGAGTCACATGGGGCATCTCTCCAAGCTGACAATCACACGCATACATGCATAGATCCCTGATGTGACATGAAGTTTAAATTCATGAAAAAAGCCAGCACTATCAAATATTAAACATTTTAAGCGCACGTCTATGCAATCCGCAGATTTAACAAAATAAGCTTTTTGACTCAATGTATCACAATGTTTTTTTTTTTTTAAATATACCACCTGCACTAAAGAGATCAAGAAGAAAGGATCTGCTTGCCTGTTTTACATATGAGGTTGTCTGTATGTTCCCAGTGTTGGACGCCCCGTGCGACTGTGTGAAAGATGAACAAAACAAGACCTCCACTACGGGCATCATAATCGGCATTCACATTGGAGTCACCTGCATCATCTTCTGTGTGCTCTTCCTCGTCTTCAGCTACCGCGGCAGGTCAGTATCAACGTGATGGGTGAAGGCCCAGGAGCAACAACACGTCCCGACGGAATGACCCGCCGATCACTCTTGTTGACAGTAATTGTCATGAGCTTCTTGTGTGTGTGTGTTCATGTAATCCCCAGGTTAAGGATGTGTAAGACGGTTCAGGCCCCCCCCCAGGCGCCGCACAGCGTAGTTTTGGAGTCCTCTTCTTCTTCCCAGGGGGCCTGTGGGATGAACGGGGCTGCCAGGAGGAAGATGGAGGTCAATGGCAGCGCGGCAGGGAAGAAAGTGGCGGAGAGCAACGAGCTGGAGAGACTTTTCACACAACCCACACAAGATACATGCATGGTGAGACCTGCACCAAACAGGGGGAAGGGAAGCCATGATTTGTTAACCTGTATTTTTAGAAAAATTGTTATGGATAAAGAAGGTTTATCTTGGGTTACATATTTTGATGTTATATTACCTTTTTGTATCTGCGGCCGCCTGTGGGAAAATTAGAACCCAAACTTTTTGTTGTGAATTTCCACCACAGCTAATTTCATGATTTGTTTGTCAACCAAACTTATTTAGCTATGCACAATTATGTTTTTTGTAGATTCTTAACACATCTCGGGTCAGCACGTATAATTTTGACTCCTGATAAAGCGCTAAACAAGTGTAGGTATTTAAAATGTGGGTTCTGACGTCTCAGAGGTTACTTTTGTTAGCGCGGTGTTATCATTACTTACAGAATTGATGCCTGGAACTGCAAACATTCCCGTGATGTAATTAAAGTAAAACTCTTATTCTCATATGAATATATATTTACATTTTTTAAATACATTTTAGTCACTTTTTTCAGCAATAGTTGATGTTTTTTTCCTGCCATGCTTTCTTTGAATGCAGCTTCTATATTCCTCTCTTTTATTCAGCACAGCCCAAACAATGGGGAAGAAAACATAACAGTACGGTAGAAAACAACACAGTATAACAGGATCAAATATTTGCAACGAAAAGGTGTGAGCTGCAACTAGAAGACACATAGTCTGATAAAAGCACAATAAGGAGGAAAAGAAAAATCCCCAACTGCACTGTTATTGTTCTTCACACAACCGAGCAGTCGGGCATCCTGATGGAAATGTCCAATAAAGGATTTAAATGCATTATGTAAACCCTTTATTTTGCATGTGCTTTCAGTCCGACCCCTACATGCTGAACGACACCCAGCTGTCTACGATACCGCTGGACAAGTTTTCGTTGCAGCGAGAGACAAAGTTCCTGGAGCCTCCTTCAGCGGCAGCGTGTCTGCAGGACCAAGGCTAATCGTGCATGAAGGCCAATTCACACGACGCTCTCCACAGTGTCCACTCTTCTCTCACTCAGGTTGACAAGTTTTTTCCTTTCAAAGCAGGTTTTCTTTTTGTGCAACGTTTTTTTTTTTTTTTTTTATTGGTACGTTACGAAGTTTGATCAAATCTGGGACTGTTTATCGGAGGGGTTTTGGATTGAGGTTTGGGAGAGCTCTTTTTGACAGGTTAGTTTCATTATTATATTGTTATTTTGGTTCAGCGCACAGACTGGATTCCCCACAATGTCCTTCCTATACAATGATGATTTTATTTGTAAGTTTATGGATATATATATATAAATACATATTTATATATCTTCATCACTGAAAGGTCAAAGTGATTCTAAGTTATTGGTTGCATGTCCACTCCTCTGTGGACGTCAAAGACTGCTGCCGCCTGTCCTCCCCACCTCCTCGCTCTCAGAGGACCTCAGCCGTCGTCCACGGATTTGATGTGTTCTGTCTCGGGACTTCTTTTTTTTCATTGATATCAACATTTTTTATGAGTTCTCAGCCTTTATACAGGGACCAAAACGCGTCTGTTGGAACCTTTACGATTCAACAAAAAACCTACCTCAGCCAGAGTGAATGTCTTGCAGAAAGCTTTTAGAGACTTTACCTTCCCCTGTGCTCAAAATGACTTTACATGCGGAGGAACTGATGGGTTCTAAAATCACAAGGTCAGGTTCCGCGCTACCTCAGATGTCAGGAATTGTCTCTCTTCTTCTTCTTCTTCGTCTTCTTGTCGAAAAGCAAAATGAACAAAAAACAAAAAACGAGTATCCAACATAAAGCACTTCCAAATGCTGATGTTAATGTTCTACCTCAAAATAACAATGTTAATGTTGTTGCTGTTGCTGGTGTTTGTCTGTTTGTTGCATAATGAAGACCCCTCTTCTCCCCCCTCTGTGGATCCTGGCTTCCCTCTTGTGTTTGTATATACAATGTCAGTACCTCATGCAAGTCGACAGACTACAGAAAACACAGTGTACAGAATGTTTGGACGATAAATGATGCTCTTCCATTGCAAGCCTTTTTTTAACAACGGTAATTTATTTTTTTTCCTCCCGTTGAATGAATAGAGCGTTAGAGATACACTGCATTTCTAATTATATTTTCAGGATTATTTACGGCTCAATGAGACGTGACACATAATGTTGTATTCTAAGAGGAAATCAAATAAGTGTCTAAAATGAGACATTGTTGAATTTTGCAGATGTGTTTTTATTGATCATATTAAATAATTGTCATACATTTGTAATGTTTGTAAAAAACAAAATCAAGCAGAGGTCTTTTAAAAATGTTCCAAGTTTTATGACTTAAAGGAATAGTTAATATTTTTTCTAGTAAACACTGAGCGTAGCTTAGCATATTTAGTACGGCTCTTAACTTCGCCAATAATCCCAAATTGTCCTCGTCACATTACTGCTTGAGAACAAACGAAGCGAATGATTTGTTACATGCATAATTAGTGGGCTGTAGCGGTGCAGGTATTGTGAACCGCTGCACGCTGTTTCTCCCCACTTCAAGTATTTGACCTTTTGATGGACGAGAATATTTCTATCACTCGCATGTCTTTAGGGTTTAGTATGAATCTGCATTCAGCGGTAAAACAACTAGTGGTGTTTATCCTCTTAAAAAACAAGGCCGTCTGTTTCCCAAAATGTTCAAATATTCCTTTTGATTGGAATCTGCTGCAGTGTATTTCTAACCTCATTCGGGAATGTCTTTTTGCTGCAGTGCTCTTAGTGATTTTGATTTCACATCACATTATCTGCCTCCTTTTTAAAACAAAGTAATAGCCTTTGAGACTCACAGTGCCCAGGAGACATCACAGTTGCTGATCATGCTCGACTATTGTTAGTCTCTCCCCCAAAACCACAACTGCTGCTCAGCCTTCGCCCCCCCCTGTCGACGCTGACAAGTAATAGTGCTTCAGGAACGCGGCGTTTGTAACATGGCTGGACGTTAACGACCACAGACAGAGAGCTGGCTGAGGGACGCAGACGTGCTCGGGTGTCTCTCTCTCTCTCTGCGTTGTCACAGATGGTGCAGGACTGGCTCGGCTGCATCGTGGTTCGCTACCTCAACCCGGTTTTTGGCCTTGATCTCAGGTCGTAATGAAGGAAACATACAGAGTACCAACAATGTGATACTGGGATTCAACCACCTATAACAATGTATATATTGTAATTGACGCGACATGCTGACAGACAGAAAGGAACACTACACAGACAATGGAGGGAGATCTTTATCTTATGCACTAATTATTAAAACGGTTTAAGTACATACAGTTTATTGTTTTTTAGTGAATGTGCAACTTTGGTTATCAGATACGTTTTTTTCTCATATCAAAAGCTTTTAACTTAATTTTTTTCTCACTGGTGTTTGACTTTATATCCTCAGTTGAAAGTGCATCTATTAATGAGGAAACAGAGAAAGGTAAAGTGTGGGACAGGAACAACGCTAACATGCACACAACGAGTCGTGTTTACCTGACCTATGCTGAACTGGGATGGGCCGAGTGGGATGAGAACCCTAGTTGCACGTTCAAGTTAAAATTTGTAAGGTTTTACATCTTCCACTAAATTAAGTTACGTATTTTACTTTGTTCCCTGCGTTCGCCAAACCTCTGCTGCCTCACTTAAGTGAAAAACTCACTTTTCCTTTTCCTTTATATGCAAACAAAATTCCTCAAATAGATAGTCTGACTCTCCTCACTACTCTACTCACTATCTGCTCTATATATTTTGCGAGGGCAACATCGCTTTTTTAGATTTAAAAAATCCGTATTTTTGCCCCGGTAGAAATGTGACAATGTGTGGAGATGATGTGTGAGCGGGACAATAGATCGGATAGTTTGCTATGTTTGATGTGGCACACGTGCCAGCTTTCTCCATTTTGTGTTTATATATAAATTATCTAGTTTACTTAGAGGCAGCACAGCATGTAATGAGTTAGATGGCCATTTTGATTGAAAATGTTTTTTTTATAATTTATTAGCTGTACACTACTTGTGTGATCTAATTATTTGGCTCCACAACATTCCATGTGAGTGTTGTTTCTGTCCCCACAGCAAAGACCTCTTTGTGGTTCTGCAAACCCGCAATATTCAGTTTCCATTGTGGTGATCAGCTTAGGTGCTGTAATGTAATGCCCTCACATGTGTTCTCCTCTCATAATTCTGTTTTATTTACTTGTTCACTTTGGGGTTGATATCATGTTATAACAATGGTTCTTGTTGAAATAGCAGAACAAAGGCTTGAGCCTAAATGTGTCCTGCTTGTATATTTATTAACTATCAGAGGGATGTTTTCACTCCAGGCTGCCGCAGCCTTAATCCGTGTTTACTGATTAGAGTCATTTCACAAGAGAAACAATGGATTCACTGCTATCGTGGCGCAGTGACGATCATGTTTACGTGATCCGACTCCTGATAGGTCAGGCTGTTGTTTTGCTGTACAGTATAGGAATCTGTGTGGTCTGACGGACCCTCAAAGCTCTTCTGTCGACCGACTGATTCTGTAACTCCCATCAGCAGAAGGGACCAGCTCGCTAAAACACTCCATGGAAAAAAGGAGGGCATTGTCTCATACATTTTGCAGTTGGGGAAGTGTTATAACACCAAGTTCCTCCCCTGTCAGTGAGCCAGCCTCTGTTTTTTCTCTGTTCAGGAATCTGACCTTTGGGCAGGGAGAGTGTGCGCTCAGGGACTCTCTGATCCTCTTAAATGTGCATCAGCGGGCCGCCCTCGGCCTCCCTTTGAATCCTGCTTTGTGCCCAGTTCACACACATTTTGCTGTCAGGGACGACTTCTGTTTTTTGGCCATTTAAGAGAAAGTGTTGCAACATTGCGTCCCTCACTTTGCTAGAAACGTGGAGGAAAAACGTGTCCTTACAGGTAATGCAAATCGGATGTAGAGATCATCATAAGGTTAAAACTTCTGTGGGGAAATACTCTGTGACAACTTCAGCGAAAATCACATCACAGCAAACGTGTGGTTTCTCCTCAGGGGAAGATTACTGTTAAAGCCTCAAAAGTATGTCTGGATACATTAGAAGTGATAGACCTTTGTGGTAATGTGTCTTGTTATGGAAATCTGAAAACTAAGAATCATCTGGAGCTCTGTTCCTGCTAATGCTGGAACAATTATTCAATTCATCGGTAGAATAATTTTTTTCAAAGTAATTTTTTAAGCACAAATGCCAAAAAAAATCCCATTTCAAACATCTAAATTCGGAGAATTTACTAATGTTGTTATCATATATATATTTCAATATGAAATGGAATGGTGAACTGAATATTTTGGGGATTTTAGAGAAATTAAACATTTGAAGCTAAGTTATGTAAAGCTTTATAAAATCACTTTTGCTCTTTTTTTCTCACATTTTATAGACCAACATAATAATCAATTAACTGAGAGAATAAGGAAAAATGCTGATTGACTGATTACAAATGTAATCTAATCATTAATCAAAAGAAGGCATCCTGGACTGGGCATGTTGCGGATTTATTCTACACTGTTTTGACTTAATGTGTCCGTGCACTTCTCCACTCATTAAATGATATGATGATGACAATAGTGGACAGGCCAGGCAGACATTGTCTCTCTATAGAGGGTCTGTCATGGACATAAGAACAATGCTGTGGATCTCAACGGCGAGGATGTTTTGGTTTCTCCCAAAGTCCTTCTGCCCTCTGGCTTAAATATCCTCAAATTGTGTGTTGATTGTTGTGGCACAAATGCTCTTTGAATAAGATTGTGAATTGATCACATTTCCAATGCATTTATCTCTAGGGCATTCGGCTGTGACCCCAGTGACGCCACATGTCAAATAACGCTGAGTTTAAAGATTTTACAAGTGATTTATACTGTTGTCAAATGGTTATTTGTGATTTAATGTAAATGTACTTTAATGTTTGGCATCAGTATTATATTTTATATACCTGTGTCAAGAAAGCAGACTGAATCTCATGTGTTCAAAGGTCGTAGGCAGAGAGAAACCTACAGCAAAACTGCATGAGAAACAAAAAGCTAACCTGTTATTTAAGATGAAATGAAAAGTGTCAGTTAACCCTTAATGGTCTTGTGATGGTACCACTGTGATATTTAGCCAAATTACGGTAAAAATAATGTTGTGGTCTCAATATGGTGCTACTGATGGTCCCGTCTCACATTGTGGGTCAATACGTTTTGATGGTGTGTTATCGATGAAAATAGACTCAATAACCTTCTTCTATTGACAGTCATCCTCTGGTCCTGTCCATCCTGTTACATTTCGAAAGGGACAATAGTCTTCATTTTCCTTCAAAAAAACATCTTTGCCTGAGGAGAATGTTTGTTCTGAATCGATGTTGCCGATGGGATCTAAAGCCGCTGGGTCGTACGTCATTTGCCTCCTGCGTAGATTCCACACCTGTCCTGTGACATCAAGCATAACAACTCAATAACAGCTCGTCAGTATAAACATTATCATTTAAGCAAACCTGCATCGCAAATGTCTTCCCGTGTAGAGCACCACCTTTCTGTTTGTGACGCGCAGTCTGAGCTTCACTTAGTCTTGAAGGGCAAATTATTCCAGTCGAATGTTGCCGTGTGAAAGCATGTAGGCATGTAAGTACGTTTGACCTGCTCCTGCCCAGCGTTGCCGGCTTCCATCGGGAATTTTACTAATGCATAAAACAGGAACTGATGTGAGTCGTTTAATTGGATCTTTCCACCATCTGATTGATTGATTAGAGATGTTCTACAAGGCTGTGAAAATGTTTTTTACAGCCACTGACTTCAAACCAATAAGGAGAGCGGAAACACAAACATGTGAAGATCAAATAGACTGCGGCAGGTGATTGTGTCTTCCTGTAGGACCGTGCTACTCGTACCAAGTCTTTTCAAGAAGTCTTTTCTGTTTCTGAGATATATTTTCTTGATTTTTATACTGAAAGAAATCACTCTACTTTTCGCTTAATAATATGTGAGCGCAACAAAGGGCAAGACAAGGGAAAAGCTGCAATCTATTTTTTTCTCTGTAGAGTTGCTTGTACGGTTTATCCGAAACAAGTAAAACTTCTATTTTATCACAATACAGTACAATTTCATTTTTAAATCCGAAGGGGTTCAAATGTGGTGCCAACCTGAAACCAAAAACCATATGCATTATCAGCTGTGTACTAGCATAAATCTCTCCAGCGAACACACATCCACCCGCCAGTCACTGTGTGCGTCTGTCTTTTAAGTCTGTCTGCTGCCACTGGTCCTCCTGCAGTTTAATTCAGGTCAACGTAAATCTCAGAGTATTATCAGGGATCACTACTGTACATTTCCACAAAGTTGTGTTTTTACGCTCTCTAGACCACAGTGTTGAAATTAAAAATCTGTATACATTTTTGCACATACAGTGTGTACTGTATGTGTGTATGTGTGTAAAAAGGCAAAATAGACCATTTTAGTGGTTTGTATTGTTTTAGAATTCATTGTGCAAAACTGAATAAAAAAACAATAACAGTGATAATAAACTAGCTCTAGAAACAATATCCGGTGACTGTCTTTATTGTGTGCGTGCGTGTGTGCGCGTGCGTATGTTCCCAGGACAGTAGCTTGCTAGATAAAGAAAGCCTTATTTACAGTCCAGATGTGTTTTGCGGCTTCCATGCAATCCGCAGAGATGTAGGAGATCAATCCGATGCCGGCTTCTCTGTCCTGTTCTTCTGTTCAGCACATTAACTCTTGGCCTGCTGAACAGACAATGTGTATTGAGAGCACAGCGCTCCGGGTCGATGGAGGTCGGTGCCGGACATCTAATCACTGTGAATCCCAATGCATGATGGAACGTTGAGACAAAGGGGGAGTCCAATGTGGTTCAGCCTCCTCTCTCTGCTTGTCTCTCTTTTGGATGAGATATTTGAGGATACTTCCAGGTAGTGTTTGTTGTTTTGGCCATCTTTACTTTTGGTATTAACCAGGGAATGCATCACAGTGAAGAAGTCCAGTGAATCACGAGCAGCCAGAAGATCATACAGGGTTTAAACAAACCTAGAAATCAGCCAAGCTAATTTGGAAGAGAAAAATAAGGTTAATGATGGAATTATTTGACAATACCAACACAAGGTCCATTTAGCAGCTTGCCTGGAGCTTTGGATCATATCAAGATGTCCTTCTGATGTTTCACAGATGTGAAAATGTATTTTGTTTTTAAGCACTTATCATTCATATTGGCATCAAACTTAAGATTGTTCTTAATCTTAGCAAAATTATTTCCCAAACTACCTGCGTAAATATCCATCATCCATCACGGTTTACTCACTGATTTCCCAATGTCCAAGACCTCTGACATGTAATCAAGTGGTTTACACAATCTGTATGCTTTATTTTATTTCTTGCAGATGTGGCTGCAGGAAGGGATCACAAATATCCGCCATTAACTCGCTCTGCTGTCACTTTTATTGGAAAAGATAGCACAAGTTACACACATGTCAGACCTGGTCTCAAGAAAGAGTATTTTTTGTTTTCAATGTGGCAACTCATGCTGCTCTGCAACATTGACCATGTTTGTACATGCTGTCATGTGTATAATTTGAAATGTGCGTGGGAAGAGAGGTGTGTGGAAGATTGCAGTGGCAAATGGAAGATGTTTGCAATGCTCACAGCTTTCTTTATTTGTGGTTTTAATAAATAGACAACAGCAGCCCCACTTACTTCCCCACTCACAGACACACAAAACAGTCCAGACTGGCCCTGTAAAGCAGTGAAACTCTATGCCTGGCTGGACCACCTCAACTGGGCCCCGGATCCTCCTGACCCCGCAGCATTTAAAGTGAGTAGAGAAGGGGGACCTCGGTTTCCCAGAGCGAGCACACAGGAGTAGGAGGGGGGGGGGGGCTGCAGCTGTCTTCTGGCCTCTCACACCGCTCGCCTTTTAGCGGCTCTAAGGGAGTAGCTAAGAGGGAGGGAGGGAGGCCAGAGGTCACACCAGCCAACCTCCACACCGCCTGCCTCTGATGTTCTCTGCTTTTTTTCTCTTCTCTTTTACTGTTTCCAGATTTCCCAGCCGTAACACGCTTCCCAGGTGACATCTCGGCTCTCACGTCGCAAATAATCAAAACCGTCTTGTCAGCTCCTGTTTCTTTTTCAAGTGATACCCTGTAGGCGTGTGTGTGCGTGTGTGTGTGTGTGCGTGTGTGTGTGTGCGTGTGTGTGTGTGTGCGTGTGTGTGTGTGTGTGTGTGTGTCTTGACCAAAGTTTCTCAAAATTACTTGATTATAATTACACTTTTTTCTAATGTGGCGAGAATTTGCATTCTATAATTGCTGATCATTAGTTTTTGCTGGTAGTGTGCCTACTCCGCTGTGTTCCCACACACAAGATTACCATGTTTGCTTTGGTCATGTTTATTCTTCTTAATTAAAACAACATCACAGGATAATTTCTTTGAGCTCTAAATTTCACTCAGTGCATCTTTATATGTATGTATACTGTATATATATATACATATATATTATATATATATGGCTCAAATCAAGCAATCTGAGGCGCTCGGTGGTAGGTGATTATAACCACTTGTGTGACCACGTGTGACGATGTGAGATACAATGTAATTTCTGCTACTGCTTTCTTCCCTGTGGTTCTGGTTTAAGACAGAGTTGCTTGTGGTGGAGGATGACTGATGGAGAATATGGGCATTAACATGCTGAGGCCACATGAGATGTGGCACTGGAGGAATTAATGGAGTGACTGTTTCTGAAAAAAGAGTGCTGATGTGATTGCGATGGTTGCCAGGGGAATCGTTCTGGAGGACCCCTCCATGCATGCTGTAAAGCTGCTCTTAGAACACATTGATATATATTTCAGGGATAAATCAGTTGGCCCATTCAATGGCAGAGTGCACGGCTTACAGTCACATGCAGGGATACGCAGTCATCATCCATGACAAAGCCCCCCCACCCATCAGGTTTCTCATCATTTGTCACTCAAAGACCATTGTTTAACACGCACAACGCACCAACACACCCTCAAGAAAGAAATGGGGGGGGGGGGGGGTGTTGTAAATTGTGGGGGAAGGAGGAGCGGCAGAGAGACACATCCTCTGTATGCATGGCGGCCGTGGTGTGTGGAGCAGGACAAAGGAAAGGAAGCCGGGCGGGACAGAAAGAGAATGTGGGATGAAGATGTTGAGGTGGTCTGAGGATCGACGGATGCCGGTGAATCAAAACTGTAAAAAAAGTGGGGAATGTGCTGCTGCTTTATATATACATATATACACACATATTCTCACCTCTCATGCTATATTTCTGTTTAGGGGAATTATGTTTGTGGTGCTTGAGTTCTGCTGCAGATTTGATAGACGTAGATAAAAGTACACTCCATCCCGCACAGCTCCACCAGCCTTCCTCTACACAAACAGCTGCACCTCCAGTCACCAGTCTGTCAAGCTCCTGAAGTGACACCACCCTCATTGGACTGATCTCTGGTGGGGACGAGTCCGCCTACAGGTGGGAGTCTGACCATCTGGTGTCGTGGTGCAGCCAAAACAACCTGGAGCTCAACGCTCTAAAGACAGTGGAGATGGTTGTGGATTTCAGGAAGAACGGAGTCCCGCCCTCCCCCATCACCCTGTGTGACTCCCCCGTCACAGCTGTGGACTCCTTCCGTTTCCTGGGCTCCATCATCACCCAGGACTCCAAGTGGGAGCTGAACATCAGCTCCATCACCAAGAAGGCTCAGCAGAGGTTGTTCTTCCTGAGGCAGCTGAAGAAATTCAACCTGTCAAAGACGATGATGGTCGACTTCTAAACGGTCATCATGGAGTCCATCCTCTGCTCCTCCATCACCGTCTGGTACGCTGCAGCCACAGCCAAGGACAAGGGCAGGCTGCAGCGTGTCATCCACTCTGCAGAGAGGGTGATCGGCTGCAATCTTCCGTCCCCGCAGGACTTGTTCGCTTCTAGGACCCTCTAGCGGGCTCCTCTCACCCCGGACAAAACCTGTTTGTGCCCCTTCCATCTGGCAGGAGGCGGAGGTCCATCAGGACCTTGTCCTCCCGCCACACAAGCTGTTTCTTCCCATCGGCAGCCGGGCTCATCAAGCCCAGGTCCCCCACTGACTGACTCTGACATCCCACCGGTCACTCCCTTCACACTCCACATTCACACATTACACCTGTCAACTGTCACTTTCACATACACTCACAACACAGTGTGTAGAGTATGGTTAACGTTGGTGCACTTTATTTTTAACTTTTATTTAAATTCCTTCTTATCCTTTATTTTTAAATTGTTTACTCTATACCCCCCTTGCCCATATTATTATATTTTGTTATTGTTAAATTGTAAATTCGTAAATTGAACATGCCATTTTCATGCCATGTTATCTTATGTCTTGTTGTCCATTGTCTTACTGCCTGATATTATGCACCTACCGCCATGTCAAATTCCCCGTATGTCTAACATATTTTGGCAATAAATGTTCCTGATTCCTGATTCCATGAAAAATGATCTTTGACCAGGTGATTATTTGTTAAATGGAGCATTAGATTGGCTACTATGAAATGATTTGGTTCAGACTTTCCTGATCTATGGAAGATAAATTGTAAAATCAAGTCAAGATATACCAATAAATTTGGACCATAACCAAATACCTGGACAACCACATTTCTGTCAGCCTCAGCAGCTTGTTTTCAGAGCTGCAGTATTCAGCAAATGTTGCATTCTGGAGGGATGCAGATTATAAATAAAGACTATGCATAGCAAAAGGGGAAAAGATGTTGGAGAGTGAGGCAGAGCTTCACACAGAGCACAACGCCGGTCCCTTAACACACTCTCACTCATTTTGTAGTAGAAGTAGTATCTTTTTCTTCCTTACCTGCATGGTCTACACTTAATCTGGCTGCTTGTTGCCCCGAGCATGTCCCTCTCCATTACCACCAGCCCTCACCTTTCTCTAATCAATAATCAGGAGGAAAACCACTGGGGAATTGTGGTCTGAAAACGGGGCTTTGTTCCGACACGAGGGTCAGGGCTTTGTTACAACACTTCTATTTGGCCTTGAGGAAGCTTTGTTTCATAGCAAGTGACACAAAAAAAATGATATTCATTGTCTCTTTGATTGACTCAAACATTGTACGTATTGATTTTTCAGCATTTAATCAAGCTGGTTTGTGCCAAGGTCCCTTTTTCATTGCCCCAAACAGAGTGCAGTTGTTGCACGCACGGGGAAACAGCTCGTGCTGTAATATAGCCGTATCTATCAATGAGGGAAACATGGTGGTGCAGTGGACCCCGCCTGTACCCCCTCCCCATCCTGTGCTGCCTTCCTCTCCCTCGTCCTCCCCTCCTCTGCTCCCCTCATCTGTTCAATCACACAAGCCATATGGATGCACAGTGTGCTGTATTAATTAGACCCCAGGGCGTGGCCACACACCGGGGGGACTGGAGTGAGTTGCTATGATGAGAGCGGAAATTTACCTCCCAGCATAAACTGGGGGGGATGTAAATACAAAAGGTGAGGTAAAGATGGTTCACAGGCAGCAAAATGTT